GTTTCTAGTATGCCTAGTAAGAGCTTGATTAGCTGGTTCAGGTGTGTTTAATTGGGGTTGGAGCTAAACTCTTCAGGACACCGGCCCTCCAGGACCGAGTTTGGACACCCCTGCTTTATACTTTACCCTCTGTATTTGTTGTCAGGTGATTGTAAGGTCAGGAGCTGGCACATTTTTTGGACTTGCTATCCACGGAAACTACATTTTTTGGTCTGACTGGACTCGGCGGGCTGTGCTACGGACCAACAAGTTCACCGGAGGAGATACTAAAGTTCTCAGGGCTGATATTCCCCACCAGCCAATGGGAATTATAGCAGTTGCCAAAGACACTAATAATTGTAAGTATTCCAAAAAAAATAAATAAATAAAAGATTGGGCTCTGAGAGTGGCCTCTGAAACTTTCATAAATATGTTGTGTGCATTGAATTCACATCTTTCACTGGCACTGGCACTTTTTGATTTCTAAGGAATAGTAGGAATGATAAATTAGAGTGGACTTTTTTAGTAACCAAGCAAACTAAATTGGAGACATAATTAATTTTAAAAAAGCATCCTCGAGTCACAGAGGATGCTCTGAACTGTCACAAATGTGAAAAGTAGGACGTCAGGAAATCGGTTTAAGAGACTCCCGACGGTTTCTGTTTGTGAGCCTGCTGTGAGGGGGTTTCTCCTCTCATTTGTTTGATCATGCCATATTATTGCAGCTGTCTGCCCCGAACCATTTTTACCTAAGGAATGTTACCAGTCAGCACTGACAGAGAGAGATGTGTTCATTCGAAGACAGATGTGAAGATAACTGCTGTTGTGATCAACAATGTGATCTTCTTACAGAAATATTTCTTTCCAATTCTTTCATCTGACACTGTGCCAAGTTAACACACCACCTTTGATTTTTGAGATTCGTTTCCATATTCATGCTTAGTTACAGCACAATAAGTTAAAGATGCTGGAGGCTCTTCATAGGTATGGGTGCTTCATACAGCTCCCAGAGGGGCAATGTTCTGGATTCATAACATTTCCTGACAGTCTGGATGTTCATTTAACAGTTCTTTGATCAGTCTGATTAAATGGACTATTCTTTCTATTTTATTTTTTTTTTTCCCGTTATAAATATATATTACCTGCATAATGATTTGAGTAAAACTTGCAGAATATCTTAGTATTTGATTTGTCCTCTTTTTTCCTCTTTAATGACAGCAGTCAGGCAGCATACACTGAAAACCTGTTCTCCAGCATGATTTGAGATCTATCCAAAGAGCATATTGTGCTTTAATGGAAATGAGAACATTTGACATCCGTACAAAGCAGGGTTATTATAGTTAACTAAAACTGAAACTAAAATGTGCACCATAAAAAATATTATTCAGTTTTATTTGAAATAAATGTAATAACTTTAACTGAAATGAAGTATAAAAACATTTTTCAGACTTTAAAAGGTTTCAGCTAGTTGCCAAGGCAACGTTTTTCATTTTAAATTAGCTAAACTTGATGTACTAAAATAACTAAAAATGAAATAAAAATGAATAAAAACTATATACACTCTAAAAAACACACATGTACTGTATGAATATGACAGAATTTTCTGTATTGGTTTTTACAGGTGTTTCACCTGTATTTTGAATTTTGCACTGCATTTTGTTATGTATTAAAGTTAATGGAAATGTCTGTAAAATTAATGGATAAAGTCCTGTCAGAAAATTACAAGTGCGTTTTCCATCCATCCATCCATCCATCCATCCATCTATCCATCCATCTATCTATCTATCTATCTATCTGAATTTCGTACAACCGTTTTGTGAATTGAAAATGCTTGGGGAATCTTGAAAATGAAGCATCCAGTTATATAAATGCACGTAAGCCTCCAAGGGCACAGGTACACATGGAGATAGGTTTTTATCACCTGAAAATGCTTCTTTTGACCTCAATATTAGCAGCTGAATTGGTTTTTGCATTCAAAGCTCATCTCAAGAGGTGGGTCATAATCTCTCGCTCCACATGAGAAATCAAGCTGAGTGAAAGCAATGGGAGGCTAATACCAGTCATGCTTACCACACTGGAACTCATCTGCACCATCTTCACAATCCTTCTGCCCATCACAAAGCCACACGCTGGAGATGCAGTTCCCGCTAGGGCAGGCGAAGTGGCCTTCTGCACATTTCTGCCTGTGGGAGACTGCGGCAGTCAGAGAAAACACGTGTTTGATTATGGAGAGCGTAAATAAGTCCAAGATTTGCTTAGTGTTAGCGAATTTGGTCCAGTGGTTGTTTGGGTCATTATTCCCTCCCTAAAATCGCTCCCAGGCAGATGAAATCTTTATGTGATGCAATTATCTATGGAACTATATGGGTGTAAAAGTGCACTTGCCTCATTAAAAGTACATCTCCATTCAAACAGGTCTACTCTGATAAATTCCACTTTTGCTTTCTATTTGAAACCACTGACATGCTATGAGCAATAAGCTGAAATCTACCAAGACTCATTTTCAAGTCACCTTTTCATCAGCCGTTTTGAAGGGACCGCAGTTTGCACGAGAGTTTAAATGTCTGCTCTACGCAAGTCTGACAATCACCAATAATTACTCATCAGCCTTCCAAACCTTTTTCAGGCTCTTCAAGCATGGATAAAAAGACAGGGGCCTGTCTCTGCCTCATTACCTCTTTCATAAATAGTGTTGCGACAAAATTCATTTGATTTTAATGGAACCTGGCTTCCTCAAGCTGCAAAGCTAACAAACGGAGAGTTATATTGAGCGTTACCCTGACAGTTCCTCTCATCGGCGTAATCTCCACAGTCATTGGCTCCATCGCACAGCCAGGAATGGTGAACGCAGAGTGAGGTGCTGTTACAACTGACAAAGACCTTTTCTGCCACTCCCATCCTGTAAAAGTCTCCACAATCTGTGTGATCTGAAAATAAGGAGGAAGATCTTGTTAATCTACTGTACGTCACATGAGATGCAAAACAGACGACGCAAAATAATTCCAAGCTGTATGATCATTCATGCACACACAATCCATAATCAAAATTAAAGCAATAGTTCACCAAATATGACTTCTGTCCATATGACTCTCAAAAGATGATTTTCTTAATATTATCCAGGCCAATCTTTGCACAATTTAATGAAAGTGAATGGAGCTGACTCTCCAAAATTACAAAAAAGCACCATTAAAGTAATAAAGTATCATTAAAATTCAACTACACTATTCAGCAAGGGTACATTAAATAGAGCAAAAGTGATAGTAAACACATTTATAATATTACACAGGATTTATATTTCAAATAAATTATGCTCTTTTGAACTTTGTATTCATCAAAGAATCCTGAAAAAGAAAAATGTATCCCAGTTTCCACAACAATATTACGTAGCACACGTTTTCAACATTGATAACAATACGAAATGTTTCTTGAGCACCAAATCAATATATAAGGATGACTTCGGAAGGACCATGTGATACTGCAAGACTCGTAATAGCTGCTGAAAATTCAGCTTTGCGTAAGTAAATTGAATTAATATTTCATAATATGACTTTTTGATCAAATAATTTCAGACTTGGTAAACATAAGACGTTTCTTTCAAAATAATCGTACTGATCCCAACCTTTTTGAAGTCGGCTGAAGCCATATGATAGCTTTCCTCCTCCAAAGTTCCAAATGCCATTGGCTCTAATGTCATTGATGTCAATGCTGCCATATTTGATTTGAAAGTTATAGCAGAGGAGATGATTTTCAGTAAATAATGACTTAATTCAGACTAAAAACTTTACTTAACTTGACTAAAATAATGACTACCATATCATATGACATCAGAAGACTTGGAATATAGTCCCTCAGTTACAGTTCCTTTTAAAATACTTTTATGGTAGATTTTATTTTATTTGTCCCATTTCATTATATAGGAAAGCATGGACAGGATATTCTTTTAAAATGTGCCTTTTCTGTTCCACTGAGGAAGGAAAGTCATAAAGATTTTGGGAGGACATTATTTTCTTCCATTTTTGGGTGATCTGTCCCTTTAATGACAATTTATTGATTTATCCTCTGTTCTATCTAGGAATGCATTACATTTGTCTATAATAGTCTGATATGTCAAGGCAATGATTATTACAGTAGGATAAAGAGAACGTGTGCTGCTTTGCAACATGGGCAGCGCTGCCTTACTGCAGTTCTTTTCATCCGAGGCATCGGCGCAGTCGATGACCTGATTGCACCAGGAGGATATTGATATGCAAGTTCCATCTTGACAGGATGACTCAGACGCAGCACACGTGACATCTGGAACAGAGACACTTCATTTACACGAAGAGCAAAGAGACTAAGGCACCTGGACGTGTGCTTAAATGAATGAAATATTGTGCGCTGATATTTGTATGATATGCACCGCAATATACAGATGATAACAGAGTCTTCCAGATCGCTCCAAGGAAAATTACTTGTGAAATGCTTTCACAGCTTGAAAATTGGGTGTCATTTTTGAGGTCTAACATGGTCCGAAATATACTAACGGCTCAAAATATTTTTGCTGCCTATTTTCTTTTATAGACTGCAAAAAAAGAAATAACTTCCTTAAGTGAAATTTATATGCAAAATGTCAAAATAATAATATTTGCAGACAAGATACTCACTGTTACAAAATGCCTCATCTGAGTTGTCCCCACAGTCATCGATTCCATCACAAAAGCGATTGTTAGCCACACAACGCCTGTTGTAGCAAGGACGGTGACCCTTTCGACAGCTCCTGTTGTCTAGCGATACGGAAAGCAATGGCAATCAGGGCAAAAAAAAAAAAAGCTTCACATCCTCTCTCTTATTTACTCTTTCTGTTGCTCTGGGCTTATTCCCATTTGCTCCTCTGGTTGAAAGCAGTAAGGAGAAGCAGCTCATTTTATTAAGTTGAAGCCTCAGGGAATGGAACTGCCACCTTAAACCAATTCTGCGTTCTTACTGCTTTCATGATGTGGGAGCTGGGAGTACATACGGCAAAGAATTGTGATCGGCCACTTACCACAATATTGCATTTTCTCATCTGACTTGTCTTTGCAGTGGGCAATTCCATCACATGTTAGCTGGTAGTCTATACATTCCCCATTTCCACACTCAAACTCAGTGTGGATGTTGCAAGAGGACGTTTTGGCTATAAAAGTGAGCACAAAATGATGTTAAAAAAAATCTACTTAATCTAAAGTAAATGAATTATGTCGCTAAGGAATACAAAAAATAGCATCATGTCATTAGTCCAACCGCTCACCTTTTCCTAATAAGCCACAAGTTTTGAGGTATCAATTATGTCTGTAGCATAAATGGTACAGGAAGAGTTCAAATCCCTAACCCTAGGTCGAAGCAATAGTCATAGCGATGTTTACATGCATACAAAATAAATGCTGGAATAAATGATGCAAAGTAATTTAACATCTTTCTGAGATGGAGGGACTCATATTCCCTGAGAGTCTGAGGGAAGCGTGGTGAAACTTACACACACATCTGTAGTCATCGAGCAGTATCCGCTCTCCTCGGCAGCTGCAGTTGACTGTGCCATGTGGAGTAAGGAGACACAGGTCACCACAGCCACCATTCAGAACCCTGCATGGAGATAGTTCGCCTGAAACACAGGGACAAGGGAACATCATGTACCATCACAACAGTGCTCTGAGCATATAAAAAAAAGGCCAAATAACAATATTAAACAACAAACAAACAAGAACACAGAGAAAAGTCATTCCAAAGTCTTTGAAGTGAGCAATCCACAAAACTTTGAGCTAAAAACAGGTTTGCTTTCTTAAAAAAAAAGCTGACTATTAAAATACACTGACAAATGCAGTACATCAGGGGCTTATTTACTGAATACCCTGGAGTTCCTACAAAGTGCAATTCCTAAGCAAAACAAAAAAGTTGTTAAAAATTTAAAATGGAAGTGTAATCTCATTTAAAGCGGAAGAAGAAAACTCCTTTGTTGGGCTTTGGAAATTAAAAGTGTGCGTTCCAAAAGTCTGAGACCACACTTGAAATGTAAGATTTAAAATCCTATTAAACATGACAATAAAAACATTTTAGGATTTTGAAACAATTTAAAACCAAGAAAACTGAAAACGAATAAGAAAACATTGAATTAATTAGAAATATTTCAGATTCTGCTCTATTTATAGGTCACTATAATCAAATATGCAAATCCGTGACATTGAACATGTGACTCCTTTGTACCACCAGTGTTAGTTTAGTCTCATTGAGATATAGTTTTTTAAATTACATTTTTAATTTTTAAACAGTTTTTCTTTTTCTTTTTTTTTTTTTAGATAGATTGCAGATAGATAGATAGATAGATAGATAGATGGATAGATAGATAGATAGATAGATGATGGATGGATAGATAGATAGATAGATGATGGATGGATGGAAAACGCACTTGTAATTTTCTGACAGGACTTTATCCATTAATTTTACAGACATTTCCATTAACTTTAATACATAACGAAATGCAGTGCAAAATTCAAAATACAGGTGAAACACCTGTAAAAATCTATACAGAAAATTCTGTCATATTCATACAGTACATGTGTGTTTTTTTAGAGTGTATATAGTTTTTATTCATTTTTATTTCATTTTTAGTATTAGTTATTTTAGTACATCAAGTTTAGCTAATTTAAAATGAAAAACGTTGCCTTGGCAACTAGCTGAAACCTTTTAAAGTCTGAAAAATGTTTTTATACTTTATTTCAGTTAAAGTTATTACATTTATTTCAAATAAAACTGAATAATAATTTTTATGGTGCACATTTTAGTTTCAGTTTTAGTTAACTATAATAACCCTGCTTTGTACGGACGTCAAATGTTCTCATTTCCATTAAAGCACAATATGCTCTTTGGATAGATCTCAAATCATGCTGGAGAACAGGTTTTCAGTTTATGCTGCCTGACTGCTGTCATTAAAGAGGAAAAAAGAGGACAAATCAAATACTAAGATATTCTGCAAGTTTTACTCAAATCATTATGCAGGTAATATATATTTATAACGGGAAAAAAAAAAATAAAATAGAAAGAATAGTCCATTTAATCAGACTGATCAAAGAACTGTTAAATGAACATCCAGACTGTCAGGAAATGTTATGAATCCAGAACATTGCCCCTCTGGGAGCTGTATGAAGCACCCATACCTATGAAGAGCCTCCAGCATCTTTAACTTATTGTGCTGTAACTAAGCATGAATATGGAAACGAATCTCAAAAATCAAAGGTGGTGTGTTAACTTGGCACAGTGTCAGATGAAAGAATTGGAAAGAAATATTTCTGTAAGAAGATCACATTGTTGATCACAACAGCAGTTATCTTCACATCTGTCTTCGAATGAACACATCTCTCTCTGTCAGTGCTGACTGGTAACATTCCTTAGGTAAAAATGGTTCGGGGCAGACAGCTGCAATAATATGGCATGATCAAACAAATGAGAGGAGAAACCCCCTCACAGCAGGCTCACAAACAGAAACCGTCGGGAGTCTCTTAAACCGATTTCCTGACGTCCTACTTTTCACATTTGTGACAGTTCAGAGCATCCTCTGTGACTCGAGGATGCTTTTTTAAAATTAATTATGTCTCCAATTTAGTTTGCTTGGTTACTAAAAAAGTCCACTCTAATTTATCATTCCTACTATTCCTTAGAAATCAAAAAGTGCCAGTGCCAGTGAAAGATGTGAATTCAATGCACACAACATATTTATGAAAGTTTCAGAGGCCACTCTCAGAGCCCAATCTTTTATTTATTTATTTTTTTTGGAATACTTACAATTATTAGTGTCTTTGGCAACTGCTATAATTCCCATTGGCTGGTGGGGAATATCAGCCCTGAGAACTTTAGTATCTCCTCCGGTGAACTTGTTGGTCCGTAGCACAGCCCGCCGAGTCCAGTCAGACCAAAAAATGTAGTTTCCGTGGATAGCAAGTCCAAAAAATGTGCCAGGCCCCGACCTTACGATCACCTAACAACAAATACAGAGGGTCAAGTACAGAGCATTTGCTTACAGATTATATATTTGATATATATTTGTCTGCTGACATGTATTATATACATTATAATATTTGTGAGTGTGTTGTTTAAGTACTGTATATATTAATGTGTAACACATTACAATAAGGTTCCATTAGTTAATGTTAGTTAATGTATTAACTAACATGAATGAACAACGGACAATACATTTATTACAGTATTGATCTTTGTTAATGTTAATTAAGGAAAATACAGTTGTTCATAGATAGTTCATGTTAATTTACAGTGTATTAACTAATGTTTACAAGCACGACTTTTGATTTTAATAATGCATTAGTAAATGCTGAAATTAACATGAACTAAGATGAATAAATGTAGAAGTATTGTTCATTCTTAGTACATGTTAACTAAAGTAGTTAACTAATGTTAACTAATGAACCTTATTGTAAAGTGTTACCTATTAAGGTTTCTGGAAGAAGTCTCTTATGCTCAACAAGGCTGCATTTATTTGAGCAAAAATACAGTAAAACAGCAATACTGTGAAATACTATTACAATGTAAAATAACTATTTTTTATTTTAATAGTAAGTTCAAAAGAACAAATTGTAGAACAAATAGAAATTTTAACAATCTAAAAGTATTTACTGTCACTTTAGATCAATTGAAAGCATACTTGCTGAATAAAAGTTTTAATTCCTTCTTTTGTTTCTTTCGTTCTTTCAAAAAAAAAAAAAACCTTTGAATGGTAATGTATATATATATATATATAATATTTTAGGCATCACATCATTATAATATACAGTATGAAAAATGTATAAATATTTATATTGTGAGATTTCATAAAGATTACATTCAACAGTGTCTTATAAATGACTAGGGTTTTTAAAGCATAATTTTAAATGAGTGTTAGATGATCATAAAGGCAATCGAAACATAAATTAAAATAAATTTCTAATATGGTGCGGTACTACTGATATATCATGCACCCCCTCAAATTTCAGCTATTCTGTTGTCAAGATATTCACCATTATTAATAGTCATTGCAAAAAAAAAAATAGTAAAAACAATAGCTTTTGGCTGTCCTCTTACACAAGGATCAAACCAATAGCTTACAATTAAAAACAAGGGACAAAAACCACTGTAAAGTCTCTTTGAGGGGACCAAAACTAATGTGTAGGTAGAGGACACATGCTTTAAATAATCGCCCAGCAGCCAGTTTAGCTCAGATCCTGTGAGTGTTAATGCAGGTGTCATGGTGACTGACACAGATATAGATCACACAACTCCTTCTGGGAGTTCCCGGCCTGTGGGGCGGGAGGATGTCCCACAGCTCCAGAGACCCAACCATTAACAGGAACACGTATGTAGCCGTGATCACATTAGCCTTGCCACCATGGTGGGAAAAATAGGACAGGTGTTGATTAAGAGAGCCCAGCTTGAGCAAACAACAACTGGATATCCGTGGGGGGATGGGGGGGGGTTTGGGATGAGGAGCATGCCAGATGGCTTTTGATGGAGCATATTGATTCAGAATTAAATTTAGCGGTGCAAGCATTCTGCTCCAGCACTAATTATCTCTGTTTATCTGATCAAATAGATGTCAAATAGAGTTTTCGGCTAACAACTATAGCCACATGCATTTGCCCGCAGCTCTGATGGGCATTACAAAAAACTTACATCTATAATAATACTCCTCTTTGTGTGGATATGATATAAATGATGGCACCACAGAGAAAGTCTAACCATGCGTACCGTTAGGCTTCCACTCAGTTTCACCATACGAACCCTTTTGCTAAAACCAGTTGGGAGATTTCAACTGCAAGGCAGTTTGCCAAAAGCCATGTTGATTTAGTTTTGCTTAATTCTTCACAGTTTAATTGGCTAGTTGATAGGATGGCCCAGCAGGGGTCTCAAAATAAGCTTTCATTACCACTAGTGCGCTTAGTTTGGGAGGTTGAGGTACTCTAATGAACTCTTTGTCATGTTTCTTCAAAGTGGCTAATTCATTACAATTAAACTGATCTGGTGAAGGGTCAATGGACACAGCATCAGTGGACACTAATAACTCCAGAGGGTTGCCCAATCTATGGGTGGTCATCAAGTCATTATCGTCTCGATGTAGTGACCCGCTGCAAAACCCAGTTGAGGTTTATGTTTTAGAAAATGAGTAGGAATTACTTCAACTGGTGGTTGTTATTTCCACTAATCAAAAGCACTTTATTAAACAACAAGAAACAAATTAAGAAAGAAAAAAAAATGTACAGGAAACTGGAACAGGAAACCCTCTAGGGTTAATTTAACATGATTCATTGTTTAAAAAGCAATAACAGAATAACATCTTAACAACAAACTATAATATGCAATTAATTGTGATCAATTTGAGCATATATGTTCAATAAGATTTCATTCTTTCTTTCTTGCATTAGATAACATTAGATATGCACTGAACTAACAATGAACTAACTAGGGGTGTGTCCGAAGCTGAATACCTTATTCGGAATGGCACGAATAATGACTTTAAAACGAATAACGAATAATTATGTCGAATAATATTCGGCTGAGGCTGACACAGACACTCCTTGTGTTTGCTGGGTAACAGGTGATCCAGGGGAAAGCATGATATTATTCATAATCTCTAAAATCACTACACAATAATGAGTGTGTGAAGTGAATGAGTATAAACATGAATGAAATGAGCACAAATCAAATAGCCGTGTTGCTGTTGCCTCTCCGTGTGTCTCTCAGAAATCAGAGCTTGGCAAGATTAAATCAACTAAACTACTACATCATACACATGTTCTACTATTTGATATGTATATTTAAATGAATGCATGAAGCACAGGATGCACAGCAAGATCGCAAATCAAACAGACACGTTCCATCTCCGCACGTCTCTTAGAAACCCAACCAGCTCCAGCCTAATAATCAACTAAGGTACATATACATTTTCTACTGCTTGGTATGTCTATTTAAATGTTTTAAACTTTGTATGATAGGCTACGAATTTCTCTGTCTCACTCTCTCTCGGAGATGGCGTTTATACAGGTATATTCTTTATAATTTGTTCAGATTTGCATTTGTACGCATAGTAAAAGGTTTTTCTTTTTTATTTCTTTCAACCTCCATGTTCTCGAATCAGCTATTTATACAGTCAGCCTCCTCTTTATTTGAGGTTGTGGTTGTCTTGACATTACTCAGTACACAGAGTTATGTATTCCTCCTATTTTACTTTTATTAACATTTATTATTACTGTTTTAATAAGAACTTTTTAATCACGAAAGGTCCCCGAGCTGGGACTTGAACTCGGGTCTCCCGAAGCACAACTGCATTACACCTAAAAGCACAGTCTAAATGAGGCTATTGGCTCAAATGTTCTAATCATAATGAAAAATATTATTTTATCAGTTATAAAAGACATATTTGTTAAGTTATAACTACAAAGAAAAAAAGATAGGCTGTAAAACCACAGACATAACGGTTTTCAGTTTAATTGTACGCACTTCCGGATAAAGCCCCATCCACTTCCATTGTTACAGCTTGTTACAGTTACAAATATTGGCTCCGCTGCACACCCCTACAACTAACGTTGGAACAATTTTTTTAAAGCATTAATTCATTTAGTTTAATTTATAAAATTGATAAAATATTACATATTTTATAAATGATAAAAGACTACATGTTTAGAAATTAGCATCAACCTAGATTAATAAATGCTGTAAAGCAATTTTAATTGAAGAAATGTTCTGTGAAACACCACGAAACAGAGAAAGAGTCATACTCACGTGTCTGTGGGAGCCATCATATTCACAGCGTTCAATTTTGCCCAAGCTGCCATCAGAGAAATACAGCTTTTCCGCTTTATGGTCAATTGTGAGTCCGTTAGGAGTGAATACATCTGTGCTAATGATGATTTTCATGTTATTCCCTGCAAGAGTGGAGCGCATGATACTGGGGTGCTGCTCATTCCAATTGGTCCAAAACATGAGGCTACAAAATACACAGGACAAAAAAATTAGAGCAATAGAAGCGATTTTACAGACAGCACTAGCAAGACGATTCAATACTGTCGTCTGCCGGTATTTTTAAACTGGCTCTATGACACATGGGAATATCACTGACTGCACAAATAATAGTGGACAGAAATTACTCAGGGCCTATTTGACGTTTCTCTTACAAATTCCTTTCACAGTCTAATTCCACGTTCTAATTGAAAATTAGTGATACATGCTGACATTCTATGCCAATTAATCATTTCAGGTTAGATTCTAATTAACAGCAGTCGGTAGTCCATTTGAAAAAGTGCCAGATTACCAAGTAAGCATATTCTCTCCAAGGTTGAGGGTTTAATGTAGTCGGTGAACTCAGGGTCAGCACATCTTTCTGAATATCAATGCTGTTCATCAGTCTCAAATGGTTCTTTTAGAGTGGATATTTAAGTGCATATACCATCCACTATGTCTGGAGAGTTGCCACTCTGCTGGATCAGGAATAAAAATATTCCATCTACAACAAATTTCACATGGTGCCCTGCTCATCTGATGAGGTCAAACTAATTAAAATATTTTCCTTCTTGACTGATTGACATTCCATATGTTTTAGTTTTCCTGTGTGTGACAAATCAATTTGCTCTCGATTTTAAAAGTTAATATGCTTCCTCCTGACATAAAAATCTATTTTGTTTTACACTATGTGTTGACAAAGTGAATGTGTTCATTTTGTATAGCCTATAGCAAATGAAATCTTTCCCTCTGTTGGAGCAGAAAAATGGCACATTTTATACGCGTCACACCAAATGTAATTGGTTCTTGCATGTCACATGACCGATGACTGGGCATTTTGAATGTTCTGAAGTGCAAATAAGCATTTCAATGCACACGACAACAAACTCAAACTCTCATGTGAAATTATATCTTCCTGTATAAAAGCATTGCCTTTGATTATTGCTAAAAACGCTCTCGATGGCATTTTTTTTTATTTGACAGTATTCTTTGCAGACCGACAATATCAGATACCTAAATGAGCAAAAAAATTCCCTTACTTTTGACATTCATCCAGGGCCAAGACGTGGGGATGGTCATCCTCAGACATGGTGACAACGGCTTGCCTGGTAAAAGCTGCTTGTCGGCTCTGGTCTACTGTGTATCTGCTGATGCTTGAGGTGGTGGAACTAGTCCAGTAAATCGTGTCCCAGGCACGGTGATAAGCCAAGCCCTCAACCGAACCCACACCTACAGAAAACAACAAGCTACAGTTTGACCATGCTAAGACATACTGAATCCAGTCGCATGGAAAGGTGATTAAATAGTATGTTTTCATTGATATTGCAGTTTGGAAATGAACACACCTCTGTGTGTTAATGCTTTCACCTGTAGTATTAATAGCTTAGGTGTTTGTTTGTTTTTTTTAGATAGATAAAATTTTGTATAAATGATCTTTTTTTAAAATTTATTATTTATTAATTTTTTACTATATTTAAATACATTGTGAATAACACAGTGAGTGTCTGCATTCAGAAAACCATAATCAATCAAAGCGACATCTCACTAAGCATTATAAAATGGTTAGGCTTTGTCTGCTATCATGTCTAAAAATTCATCAGTGAAATAGCATTTGTTTAAACACTGAGGCTGTAGCTAAAAATGCTACTATTTGAAAGATCTTAGAGAATATAGTCTGCAGAAATCCATCACTAATTAATCATTCACAATAAAAAGTGCCTGACAGCTTGCCTGTGCAGAAACTGTTAGAGAGGCCAGGGAGTAATTAACAGGGGATGTATGACTTAATTAGGGAAATACGGATTAACGTCCTCACCCTCTCCTGGTGACAGAATGGAGAGGGTGTTTGTATGCGTTTCTAAGTGTGCATGTAGTCAAGGTGGCTGGGATTGGCTTTCATCTCTGGGAAAGTGAGTGAACTCGAGTGTGGAGACGCCATCAAAAGAACCAGCTCATTTCAACCTGTAGTCAACATTACACTCTCACTCTCTCTGGCTGGGGTACTTATGCTCAAATGGATAGAGGTGGAGGATATCTGTGAACGTTACAGTGTGGCATGGGTATGAAAAGTACATGTGAATGGTCAAATGCACTTCTCCTTCAAAAATGTCTCAAGTGAACATTAACAGGCTGGATATGCATCAAAATATCTAATCTGAGCTTTAGGCTGAAAAAAAAAAACTGTAAAAACGTTACGGCAAAAACCTGTTAACTTTTTAACAGTATGTTTCCTTACTGTATACAGTGAATAACTGTAATAGATCTAACCTTAACTTACATTTAGTGTAAATTTACATTAAAATACTGTAAAATGACATTGCCAGAATTCCCTGTGTGACAGGTCACATTTGATGGTTTTTCGATTAAGTAACTTAAATGTTTTTTCAGTTATGGCAGTTTCAGTTCCGGCAACCACAGATTTTTGTGTGTGTGTAATTTTCATGTTTTTTCCCAGTATACTGTACACTTGTGAGTAAAAAATAAAACGGTGATTCTAACTGATGTAAATTATATTTTGTTACATATGCTAAACAAAGGCAAGGATGAATCAGAACAAAACCATTTTCACGATCACAAAGAGTAGCCTCAAAAAAGAGGCTAATTAAGTAGAAGTGAAATTTGTAAAAAAAAAAATAAAAGGTCTAATTCCTTAAGGAGCATTGAGGCTAGTTAAAACAGAATTCAGAGAGTACTGTAAGTGGACAGACGCACCAATCATGGAGCACAGAAGCTTTCTAAGTATATCTGCTTCATCGCATTAACCCAAAAAGTGAAATGAGCTGGGTTACTAAGTACCGAAAGGAATTAAGGGATTTGTTTCCCCGTTTACCTAGGACACAGAAATGGTATTTCGATTTAAAAGATAGTCCATTTCATTAAAGAATTTCTGGTGTACATGTACATTATTGCTACGTCTTATTACCTGCCATTTGAACCTAATTATGTTGGTATGAGTTCTGAATCTAAAATTACGTTGTAAACAATGGATTAGGATCTGAAAGAAAGTCCATCTGTAAACACACACTACAGTATGTGCAGCTATTATAAGCAGTACATGAGTTGTTTGATAATAAAATCCGTCATATTTGTCTCATTACATTGTAAATGGATAATACACAGTCATTAGGCATATTAGGTTTCCATTGTGGGCCACCATCAGACTTGAATATCGATCGCGGCTGAAATGTCTGCCGTATATAGCGTACATGAGGAAATCAATAACCATATTCTGAACTTTCCAACAACAGTGACAGGCAGGATCTTGAAAAATATCATCCTGCTTCCACTCATATTTCTGTTACAGTTTGAGGACGGTGGAAATGAGACAAGCGATTTTAATCCATCAAGAGTGAGGACACAGAAAAAGATGCAGTGTTTTAAACATCTTTTTTGACAGTTAAATTGGTCCCATTTAGTTGCAGAAAAATTGAGGTAGCTATTATAACACTTTTACTAGATGTTGGATGCATCGAGGCCTTGCTGTACATCACAGGCAATGCCACTTACCGTTCCCAACAAATGGCCTTTCACAAATGGCTGCTAAGAAGCTGGAATGGTTCTAGCGGCAGAACATTAAACAATATGTGGGTCACTGCAATGAGTCTGCATCAGGACGACGACAGCACCAAAAACAAATGCCCACTTTTGTAGAAGAAGCATCTTTGGACATCTTTCATGACCAACAAAAGGCTAGCAATTAGTAGGATTTTCCAAATGCCCCTTGAAACCCATTTCTGCATGAAAGCACAAAAAAAACCCAACCAGACTTACTTTCAACTATGATCTGTCTTCCAGACCAATCGTCATTGATCATCTGAATATTCCCAAAATGGATGTCGCTGAAGAATATGCGGTTGTGGTGTGAGGCCTGCTGCCGATAATCGAATGCCAGAGCGATGACATTTTTGAAGTAGTCTGGATTCTCAAAAGGTTGGAGAGGGGAGTTAAGATCACTCTCGTCAGACAGGTGGATGCTTTTCAAGATGGTCCGTTCAGAGTACAGAAGATAGCCCTCATATCTTTGGCAAGCAAAGCCATCTTCGGCTAAGTACCCATGAGCACATGAACACGTCCTTCTTCCGCTGCCCAGGTGAAAACACAGCTGCTGACAACCTCCATTGCTCCTCGCACACGGGTTTGTGCCTGCATGCCAAAGCATAGAAAAACATCACTGGATGAACACTAAGATATTCATTATAATTGTGTTTTGTCCAAAGAATACATATGTGGCATGATAAAAATGAACTCATTAAATTGAAACCTCAACCTTTCTCCCGGCCTTTGTTAAACACTTTCACATCCTTCAGGTTGACACCAAGACCACTTCTTATCGTGACGGCATCAGTGGCATCGCTTTTGAATCCACGCCGGATCGATCCGTTGCCATGGGCTCTGCCACAGACGGCACAGAAAAAGAGTCTGACATCAGCGTTATGATGGTGGTTATCTAATTAAAAGCAGCAAGACACATTAAAAAACTGCAAAGCCAAGAAAACGTCACCTTGCCGATGACTTACGGTACATCCTATTTACATAAAGGCCAACAGAGTCTGCCTGGGAGACGACAGAATCATACGGCAGGTCTCATAATAACCTTGCTCGGAAGGGGTTAATCCGTTGAGACTAGAGCAGCTGGCTCAGTGGGCCACTTTGGAGAGTGTAGCACTTAGTAAAATAATAAATTACCTGTCAGACCAGTAGATGTAAGCCCCGAACACAGCCACGGAGAACAGGTCCACGTTGGCGGCTGACAGTACAATCTCTCGGCCCTCCCCGGTTTCAAGGTTGATCCTTTCTATCTTGTCGGTCCGGGCGTCACACCAGTATAATCTATTTTCCTAGAAAGCAATTTGAAAATGCACATCAGCGCCTCTCCCTTTGAGCAGCCCCATTTTATCAGCATCAGAAGAAAAGAGAGTGAGCGGAGTATCAGGAAGTGGAATCAATTTGCCCTACCTCATAGTCAATGGTGATTCCATTCGGCCAGGCGATACCAGAACTGACCAGGGTCACTTGGTCTGAACCATCCAGCCGTGCACGACCTATGCAAGGATTCTTCCCCCACTCAGTCCAGAATAAATAACTGTTGATTGGAAAAATCAGATGTGGAATACTACTTTAACCATACCAAATTCTACATTTTATAGTGACTTATAGTGAGGAAAGCCACAAACCTGTTATCATTTGTTCACTCTAATGTCATTCCAGACAAATATGATTTTCTTTATTTTACTTAAAGCTGCAGTCCGTATCTTTTTTTGGTTAAAAATGATCCGAAATCAATATTTGAGCAAGTACATAACCAGCCAGTGTTCAAAACTATCGCCTTACTTTAGCCCGATTCACAACGGTTATCTTATAATAATGTTTTCTAATTTGAGTGGTACGGGTAGGATTTCGCGTGAAATTCGAGCATGGCACTGCGTCATTAAGTCACGTCTGTAAACATAAAGAAGTTGTCCCGGCTACTAGGCTATCGCATGTGAGGATCCTGCAGGTGGCCAATCGTTTATAGCCTTTTCTCACAGCAGCCAGAATAATTAAATGTATCATTTTGATGGCGGATTGTAATCCCTAAAGGATTATGTGTTTATGAAACACGTGAATGAAATGAAATTATATTCCAGTTATAAATGTGCTTCTGATTACAGATAGCCTGGGATTACAAAGATTTGTATTTTAAAGAAAACCAGTTCGAAGGGAGCATAATTTGCTTTTTGGGTTAAAAGAATTTCTTAATATGAAATTCGAAGAGTATGACAATTAGATTAGACTGTGCAGAAATTGAAATCTACACGCTAATACACACTATACTCATAGTCACCAATGCTGATGCTGTTAACATTAATCATTTGAGAATAAAGTATAACAATAATAATAATTTAAATGGTTTGATGTGATGAGCTAACCGATCTTTAGATTTAATCAGAATAAATAATCAGAATAAACGTGGCAGACTTGTTACTTACTTGTTCAGATGGCAATATCTGGTGAAAATGCTTATTTGAGTCATATATTCCAAGACGTAGGCTAGAATCTGTGATTGCGAAGTACAGTAAATATCCACACCGGTGCGGTGACTGACTGCCACACATACTCCTCAGAACATTAGATTCATTCGCGCTGGAGACGAGCCGACTCACAAACCACGCAAGCTAGATAATTCCGCACACAGCTGCAATTCCAGGTTTTCAAACAGAGGTGGCGTCAAAGAGGCAAAACTTACGGACTGCAGCTTTAAGCAGAAAACAAAAACTTGAAGACTCCAAGCTTCAAAAAGGAGGGAAAAGTATCATAATTGGTCCATACCACTCATCATCATTAAATATATTTTGACATTAGCCCTAGAGCTCCTTGGCATGTTCATTAGAGAAGTACAGTATGAATCATTGTGAACAAATCATTCTTTTGAATTTAATCTTTCACTGAATGTCACTGAATGTCATTCCAGGCTCATACAACTTTCTTACCTTCTTACTTATAACAAAAAAAAAGTGAAGACATCAAGTTTAAAAATGGAAATAAAAGCGTCACAAAAAGTTGTCCATATGGCTCATCTGATTCATCTGATAAATTAATATTTTTTTTTTTAGAAACAGTCGTTTATTACTGAATATATCTTGACATTGGACCTAGAGCACCTTGCATGTTCATTAATGAATCATGCTTTTGAACATATTTTCAATGAATCATTTGATTTGATTTTTAAAACTTAACAAATCTGACTGATATGGTTCACAATGACTGGGTTGTAGACATTAATGTAGTCATATGAACCACTTTTGTGATACTGTTTGCATCCTTTTTTTTAAGTTTGATAGCTTTACCCATTCACTATAAAATTACAAGGAAAAGAGCCACCAGGACAGAACTTCTACTTTTGTGCTCCGCAGAAGTAAGTTGTATGGCTTTGGAACGACATGATGGTGAGTAAAAGATGTCAGAGTTTTTATTTTTGGATGAACTATTCCTTTAAAGTGTATAACTGTTGTTATTCCACCAAGGAACCATCATTCAAAGTTTGACTCAACTGGAAAAACGAAAAGACATCTTTCATAGCCTTAGGCTTGAATAGGAGGCTGTTTTTTTTTGTTGTTTTTTTTATGTCTGGGATTTAGAGGATCCCACTCCTGATGCTGTCTGCTGTCAGCAGATAGATGGTAGATGGGTTAAAGCGCTCATATGTCTTTTCACTGTGTGATTCTGATTGCAGGTTGTAAACATCAAATTCAAGGCAAACACAGACAAATCTGGCAAGAAAGTAAACCATAAAGTTTGACCCTAATTACTGAAACAATACCATAATGGACTCCAAAATGGGCCTATGCCTAAATGGATATGCATATCTGGTTTTAAATTCTTAATTTGGTTCATTAGTGGAGTCAGATCACAAAATTTATTTGACCTTCAAAGGTTTAAAATGCATTTTCATTTCTCTTCCAAGAGCTCATTGTATTATCTGGTCTAATGCACTTGCATAGTTCCCTAAAATTCACTCAGTAATTTCTAAAATGCTTCTAAAGATTTATATTACTGAACAGTAGACATGGCTGAAACTGATCCGTTGTCTCAGAAGCATCTGACGTACCCTCTCTGTGGATGCACTGCAATGGCTCTTGGCTGGTCCAGCCCTTCTGATATGACAACTGAACGGTAGAGACCATTCAGACGAGCGATTTCAATCAAGTTGAGGCCATGGTCTGTCCAGTAAAGGTTACCTGGAAAATAAATAAATAAAATGAATGAATGAATGAATGAATAAATGTATTTATATATAAATAAATAAATAAAGATGTTTCCAAATTGCTATAATATTTCGCAATATTACAGTTTTTAATGTATTTAAATTGTATTGTATTATATTGTATTTATTGACCAAATATATGCAGCCTTGACGAGCAAGACACTTTCAAAAACATAAAAAAAACAAAAAAACAATTGTACTGACCTCAAACATTTTAATAGTATTATATCTAAAGGCTAGAAACGCAAATATTTTATTTGGATTCCTTGTGACAGTGGTAAAAAATGGCAGCATTCCATTGTTAAAATAATGTTTGTGTCTTACCAGCAATCCAATCGACTGCGATGCCCTCCACTCTGTTGATGCCAGTAGTGATAATGTCTTCCCTCCATGTCTGATCCCTCTTGGCTCTTGAGATCCGGTTTAATCCCATGTCTGTCCAGTAAACTGTATCATTGCCTGTATGAAGGAGGACATATGTCATGAAGAACAAAACTTGCAACATAAATAGTGTATGAGAAAGCATCTCAGACCCTTTATGTCAAAAACAGAAAGAAATGAAGCAGAAATATTCTGGACACTTCTAATACTGTTCGTAAGGGACCCCATATTAATTTATAATGCTGTTTAGTAGTAACAATAACTACAGAAACCAACAAGCATTTGTAATGGAATTTCATTCAAAGTGCTAAAGTGACATACAAAAATTGTGTAGCAAACAAATCAAACAAGATTAGCAATGACTAAATGATTGTTTTGACAGAAGCATGCTCTAAATGTAAGTGGTGTTTTTGCCCAACAACTGAATGTGACGAGAGCAGTTATTTATTTGCATCCTCCTGTTATTACTGAATTCACACTCAGCTAACAAATCTCTTACATGTGACAGCAGCCAGCTGGAAGGCCCTCATCTGTTTCATGCTCCAACAAGCTGCCTCTAAATAACATGCAAATGGTATGCATGTGTAATCAGCTGTAACGGGCTGAGCTGGACTGGGGTTTTCTTCACCTGAGATGAGCGGATTCTGGTGGTAGGCGAGAGCATTCGCATTGATACTCTCTGACCATCTGCCTCTATTGCCCTGCTGCTGAGGTCAGCAATTCTGCCATGTTTCCCAACCCACACAGCATGTGAAAAACGACCTGTTTAGCTAATGAGTTAAAGTCGCCAGTTGCATATTATTTTATTAGTTTGAATATATATAAACCTCCATTCAGTTTAAGCAGATACAAATGATGAAGTAGGCTATATTACAAGGTAGTGGTTTTCTTGTTAAATTAATTATTTATTGACAACAGCACCTACTACTGTATATAATAATAATTATTATTATTATTATTAATATTATTAGTATTAATGAACATGGTACACAATATTATAATATTAAAATCTATTTTAAAATATAATATAAATATAATAAGACTTATTTTTTCATTGAATGACAGCCCTTATTTTTAAGGACCCATTATTATTATTATTATTATTATGAAACGTAGTAGTAGTTGTAGTAGTAGTGCTATTTTACGTTACCATATTGCTAATTTAAATAACTAACTAAATACATAAAAACATGACAAAAGATGATAATTTTAACATGACAAAATAAATAGCAAATAGTTATACAATGCAATAATAATTTTAATATTGTAAATTGAATGCAATAATAATTGTATTATTGTAAATTAATATAGATTTATAACTTTTCTTTTAGCCTTTATCTAATTTAACACAATAATAATACACAAATATTTTAAAAAATCTATATTAATATACAGTTTCATTGATTGACAGCCCTAATTATTATTAGTATTAGTGCTATTTACTTTACTATCTTGTTAATTTTAATAACAATCAAATAAATAAATAAATACATACATACATACATACATACATACATACCTTGCATCTGCATAGCATACTTTTCGTTGCACCAGCAAACTGAATGGAATGCTATAAGCACTATTTTCAGCACAGTGTTTGTTGGTTGTTTGTTTATGGGAGAAGCAAAGGTCAGGTCACATTTCAGTGGCTACAGCAGGTCTGTACTACTGCATGCATATGTGTTTGCATGTTTATGGAAATGTCTCATATTATTGACTGTTAGAATGCTAATTTGGTACCATCACATGTGGACTGCCCCCTTGACGCTCACTTCATTTATGCCACTTGCCACCACAAAATGCTCCCCTGAAACAGGCTGAATAATCTTGCATTAGACCGCTGTCAAATTAACCTCATTCACAGAATGAATAATGCATAGTATGACAACAACCCCTCAATGCCATCAGCGTGGTGATGTCGGCTCTACTTCCATTTGCTACATTATCTACTATACTGCTTTCTGTATTTTATGGTTGTAGCTATAAGAGATATAAGGAGACCATTTATCTGAGTTACTGTTTGCGCCTACTTGTTTAACTCATCTTAGCTGTTTATCTCTTCTACATGCGATATGTAGTGTTGTTAAGTCCCTTCTGAGCTGGTAAGAGACTGTGTAGCTAATATGAGACTGTACAGCAAACAACATTTAAAAAAATAATGCAGAGAAAGCAATACATGCCTTATCTTTGTTGTGCACACAGAGAGGATTCAGAGAGTAGTTCTATACACTAGTGAAGAGAGTGGAAGATAGCAGGATTGAGTCACGGGAAGTGCCATGTTTGTACCTGCATGAAAGTCCACGCCAACAGCAAACAAGGTGCCGCTGATGGGCATCAGGGTCTCGGCGTGGTCACTGGGATCCAAAGAGATTCCACGTATCCCCTCATGAAAAGAGTACATCAGAAAAGAACTCAGGCCTGTGATAAACAACAGCAAGCGAAAGATGTTAGATGGAGGTCAAACAAACCTCATACAGTTTTCTTTGGGCACAAAACAAAACAAGTAGCTAAACGAAAGACAACATGAATTAAGGCCTGCTCACACCAAGGCCGATAACTATAAAGATAACGATAAAGATATAGTTCTAAAAATCGTTCTCAGTATTAAAGAATAGCAGAGTCCACACCACAGCTATAACGATAAAGGCACAGAGAAAAGATGTCGTTGGAATCACTTTCAGAACTTTTTTTTTCCAGCTGATGAATGATAAAAACATTGACACCCAATCAGAATCAATCCTGCTATTATGATCTTGAGAATTTAAAGCGGCAGACAAGCGTGTGCTTAGAATAAACAGACTAATAACTAATATAACTAATATAGTTATCGTTCTTGATGTGAACGGGCCTGTTAGAAGTGAAGAAAAAATGTGACATCCCTGTAAAACATAAGGACACAGGCCATGACAGCAGCCTACCTTCACAGGAGAGACGGTCACTGCGCAGGTTGTAGCCAATGGTGCAGGCACATGTGCGTGTGTTTTCAGATGTGGGCAGACAGAGCTGCGAGCAACCACCGTTATTCAACTGACAGGCATTCCTACCTGAGAGAGACCACAATGAGAGGAGAAAACATCATGATGAATGAAAAATCATTCTTGAGGAAAACTGCTGACTGTAGCTTTTGGGCTTCTCCATCTCTAATGCTTATTATACATTGCTGCAATATAATATTCCAAACAGTTCTAAAAACATATGTAGAGTATGCAATTTCAGATTTACTAGTGCAGCCAAATTAAACTGCAAAAATAATGACTGTTTTCACACATTTCCTGAACCCCTCTAGCATCCCATTGTTTATTGTTTGACCCATTTATACCGTATGAGAAAATATGAAGGCTTCTAAAATTAAACTAAGTATATATAGTCCTTATACTAAAGCCAAAGCAAATTATTAAAATATCTCGAAAATAATTAAGGTGACACTGATGCTTATTTTATTCTCAATGTTAATGTGTACACCACCTTTCATGTTTGGGATTGGAATTATTAAGTTTTTGAAAGAAGTCTCTTATGCTCTCCAAGGCTGCATTCATTTGATCAAAAATACAGTAAATACAGTAATATTGTGAAATATTATTACAATGTAAAATAATTATAGAATATATTTTTTAATGTATTTCAATACATTTTAAAATGTAATTTATTCCTGTGATGCCAAAGCTGAATTTATTTATTTATTTTGTATATAGCTATAATTTAATTCTAAAGCAGTTTTACAAAGAATATTGACATACAAACTCCAATTACTATTGATAAAAACTAGGACTGTCAATAGACAATTTAATGATATTGTTTTCAATATCATTAAAAACAAGAATGAAACCATAATACTATCAAATTTCAAATACTTAAAGTTCTTACAGTTCACATCTACGGTCTCTTGTGTGTTTGCATTTACTAGGCATTTTGTCTAATTGTATTATGCTTTCAGCTATCAGCAAATGTATTCTGAGTTCTGTTTAACTTATTTCATTATGTTTAAATCCACTCCACAACATTCTGCAGATTTCCCCCCCAAATTAGCTCTTCAAATTCTAAAAATGTTTGCAGATTCTATACAAGCCTGCTTATGAGCCATACAAGCAAAGCTGAAGCAGTGGACTAATTTGAGACAGTTTCTGAGATATGTCATTTACGCTTTTATTTGAAAGCAATTCATTAACAGGTTCGGCCACAATGGAATGGTCGTAAATTTGGAATATCTCTCCTCATTTGATGAAAGGTTTTAGTGTTGCTGTCAAGTCAAGATGACCTGACATTCTTCCTGGAAGTCTAACTCTCGTCTTAATTGTATAACTGAAAGTGAAGGGGAGGGAAACTGCACCACAGTATTAGCACAAGCTCTCAGGGAAAGCTCAGCTTGCACATCTACGACAGTAGTAAGACAGCTCCACATTATGAATAGAGAGGCTAATTGCTGTTGGAGAAATTTGGTGGCTGGATAGATTTACATTTGAGCCCGTTTAATGGTCATTCCTTATTCAAGTCGACAGTTTAGTGGGATCTACAGCAATGCCGTTAATGGATCTGCCATTAGTGTGAATTATTTGCAGAATAACTCACAAAATGGAAAACCAATATCTTAATATATATTTGCTTACACTCAGGGAAGATTAGCCTGTGATATTATGCAAAGAAAAAAAAATGAAGATACAAAACCGAAAAGAGTTGACTTAGAGCTAGCAATTTACAAGTAAATTAAACAACACAGTATAATGCTTAAAATTTATGGTCTTGTTTATTTTAGCACATTTATTTTTATAAGCTACTTTAAGACTCTACAAAATCAAAATCAGTTTTGTGGCTTTTAGTCCATGCCTATTAACTTTAAAGCTAATTTATTTGCTTGTGTAGTCCTAAACAAGGAAAACTGAGCAAAATGATTTTGAATAAGATTTTTGTCCAATCAAATGCTCTCGAGAAAAAAAATGTACAGTACTATCAAGTAGCTAAATCATGGTACGTGACAGTCTTATTTTAGTATCATTGAGATTGTATATATTTTTAAATATTTTATAGTGTTTATTTTAAATTAGTGTTTATTTTTGTATTTTTTCTTTTTTTTAATTGAATGTTATTGAAATTCAAGTTATAGTTAAAGTTTGAGTAATTTTGTTGTGTTTTTTTTTTAGTATGTCTATATAGTTTTTTTCCTTATTCATTTTTAATTTGAGTTTTATTTAATGTAGTACATCAGAAGAAAGACATTTTGAAATGGTGCAATTTTTGGTATATTATTTGTTTGTCCTTCCTGATAGAGCTTCCTGTTCTTTTGGAAAACATGTCAACATTGGAAAGAAATCCCACAGCTCTAAAAAGATGTTAAACTTCAGTCTTCTTTTTCAAGCAACCTTGACTGTATCACAACGCACCTTTCTGACCATCTCTGTCGTACACCTTCATGTGTACCACTCCGCTGGTCTTATTGCGTAGCACTGCCGGGTTACGTCCATCCCGTTTGGCGACCGTTCCCAGCTGAGCCAGATCCTCATCGGCCCACCACAGCTTGCCACCTGGAAAAACAGATGAATTATTCATTTCCCAAAGTCACAGAACCAGCAGGTCTGACTGCCAGTGGAAGCACATGCCATTATCATTTGTTTGTCCCTTTTATACCACATGCATAAAATCCGGTGGAGTGCTGTGCTTTTTTCAGTGCCAAAACTATGCTACGCTTCAGTGTACGGGTGGGCAAGGGAGGTGGTTGGAGCGAGTGAGCGAGAAAAGTAAAGAGATAGGACTTGAGCATTATGCATGTTCCCTTCCCAGTGTGAGTCAATGAGGCAGAGCTCAGGGCAGCCTGGCTACATGCCCTGGCTGAAGACAAGGACTCTTCATTCACAAAGCCATCAGAGTGCATCTATTCCCACAGCGGCGCTGCAGCTAGCAAGCCCCTCGTGTTGTTTCCGCTCTGTAAGGCTGAGTGTGCCACAAAGGGCCTCAGAGATTGTCCTTGGCTCTGAGCCTAGACCATATCTGTCTGCTGCAGGAATACAGGAGAGTCGGAGACAGTCGTAGCTGTGCGACCGTAAAATGAAACACATATTTGTATTTGTTAAAGTACAGAGGGACTGAATTAACCATATGGCATTGAATGAAAGGGATGAAAGAAATTAATCAACAAAATCACTTTAATCACAGTTGCAGCCAAAATACCACATACTGCTATTTGATTGCTACAATAAAAACTGTAGTCACTTTGGATTAGCACCTTAAAAATAAAATGACAAAGATTTTAAAAGCTTTTTTTTCTCTCTTTTTTTTTTTTTTACTGTTGATGGACATTCCAACAAGTTATTAAGATTTTACAATATTAATAATAATTGTAGTAACTATAGTATTTTAATGGAAATATTTTATTATTATATTATTGCGTTTCAGTTCATGTTAGTGATGCGTTTCAGATGGATATTTGCGGAGACAGAGAAGACAGAGAATGCACCCTGAATGTTTTCTTTATTTTACAAAAGCACACAGTTTTGTTGTTACTGTGAGTTTACACAAATAAAAGTAGACAATTAACAGTTTTGAATGATATATAACACTTATTTGTGTGACCAAAATCAACAGAGTATTTTTAGTATATTTTGCACTGATCTTAAAAAAAGTGAGCTGGTCGCGCCGGCGCGACCGTCGAGCCCAGGGAGTTAAGGTATACAAAAAGGAAAAAAAGGAAAGGGGAAAAAAAGGAATATATATCCAAAAACTTCAGGTTTTTGACAACACAACCTTGCGTCATATTTGCTGAATGAAATCCAATACTTGTTTCTTACTAATTTTGCGGTGCTGATTCCAAAAATAGTGCCTGTTACACACTTGTATCATCCCTTAATCGCCAGAAAAACTGCCACATAGAGATGAAGCCTTTGAGCCAGATTACAACTATTTGTTCAATTCTCAGCTGATTTTCTCATGTATGAATGATTCTGAATACATTATTTTATGCTTAATCCAGGGTTCAAGATAAGAATTATGGCCAGTGCCTACATCTGCTACATCTGTTGGTGTTTTACTACATTCAAGTAGCATAAGAAAATCACAGATTTTGTTAAAATAAGTAAATAAATAAACAAAAGAATATAATAAAATACAATAAAATAAAATAAAATAAGATTGTGTTTACGTAAAGTTCCATTAAATTTAATGGAGTATTTAAACATTTTCCATTCCTTTGCAGACTGTAAGTTACATTATACATTCTAAATACTTATTTTTGTCATTACATCTGAAACTTTTGACAATTGACAATATATGTATATATATAAATCCTGAAAGCATTGTGGTTTTCCACAGGAAAATAAATAAATAAATACAAACTTAATAAAAAATGAAAAAAATAAATAAATAAATAAACAACACAGCCCTGCTAATAATAAGAAATGCTTCTCAAACACCAAATTAGAATATCAGAATGATTTCTGAAGGATCATGTGACACTGAAGACTGAAGTAATGACTGCTGAAAATTGCCATCTCAGGAGTAAATTGCATTTTAAAAATATATTAAAATGTAAAACAGTTATTTTAAATGATAATATTTCACAATATTTTTTAACTTATTTTTGACCAAATAAATGCAGAACACTTAAACAAAACATTAAAACCTTACCAACCCCAAACTTGTGAACAATATATATTATGCAGCAATGCATTTGTACACCTATAACTTGTTCCTTAAAATGCTGTCTCTGTAGGCAGCACACTAGGTTTTAGAACAGAGCAACTATCTACTGCATGCTTAAATTCTTTCACATGTACACTTAACGAGTACAAGCACAGATATTTTTCAACAGGACATTCCTACTCCATAAACCAGAAACAAATGCTAGTGTAATTTAGGTCACAGTGAGCCTCCAAGAAGATATTTGCTTTTTGTAGTGAGGCCAGCTGTGTATAAATGACATCCTACCCTGAGCAGTGAGAAGCGTATTTGACATTCAAAGATTGCTTGCATAGGTCATCATTGCAGTCAATATTAATCTTTACCTGTCCAGGGTGAGAGACATCAATGATTGCTTCTGGGTGTAATGTCCACTTAATTTGTTTGATCACAGACCAGCACAGGTCTTGAAGTGACACACAGCCCCCTAAACAGCAGCTTGCACTTCCCTGAATGGTCATATCCCATTAAAGATTGTACCAGGAGAAGGTGGTGAGATTGCATCCTGTCAGTAAAATTGCTTTCATTTCTTCAGTCATCATGCTCTTCAATTACTGCTTCACGGTCTAATAACGGATGTGACTTTGATGCAAAGCGGCCATTGGATTTTTTTTCCCTAATAATGATGCTGCATCTTTCAACCAGCCGCCGCTCCTATCGATCCCCTGATCATCTGTCTCTGCTGAGTATATTTCCCCTGCACACCTCTCTATAATGATAAGGCCTGTCCCTCGACACATGCTACAGGGTGCTTGATTTTACCATGCCAGATGGCTGAAATCGTAAACCATTTCCCATAATGCAAGACCAAAGTCAATTTACGGGGACATCAACTGATAGCATGTTATACAGGTTAACCTTGGCAAATGCCCTAATTTATATTGCTTTTGCTGGGATGGAGATAGTGGCGATAGAAACCGAAGATCTTTTGCAGTTTGTATCAAACATTGACCAGATACCACCCCAGATGTATCACACAGAAATCATACGGCCTAATGGAATTTCATTCAAGTTCAAAACATGGATAAGGAAAGTTGTCATTTTTGCCATTTCAAAGTATTTATGTCTACCTGTAATTTTAAAGAGATAAGCAAATAATTATAATCTGGGCAAAAAATAATTACATAAAAACTGTATTTATGTGGCTATCACATACATCTTTGAAAAACTTCAGGTTTTTGACAACACAACCTTGCGTCATATTTGCTGATAATTATTAAGAATTAATACAGTGCTTACATCTGCTGGTGTTTTACTACATTCAAGTAGCATAAGAAAATTACAGATTTTGTTAAAATAAGTAAATAAATAAATAAACAAAAGAATATAATAAAATACAATAAAATAAAATAAGCTTGTGTTTACGTAAAGTTCCATGAAATTTAATAGAGTATTTAAACATTTTCCATTCCTTTGCAGATTGTAAGTTACATTATACATTCTAAATACTTATTTTTGTCATTACATCTGAAACTTTTGACAATTGACTGCTTTTGTTATTGTGATATATAATATATATATATATATAATTGTATACATATAATTTTAAAACTTTTTTTGTGGAAAAAAATGTATGTGATACAAATTTTTTATTAATGTTTTTAAACTTGGCATAATCAAATTAAGCAATGTTAGGCCTAAACTATTATATAAGTATTATTGCAAATAAATCATGCATATGTGGTAAAATAAATAATATACTAATGACAACAGCAACAATAATAGATCTTTAAGCATGCCATTTTCAAACAGTTGAAGACCTGACAGGAAAGGGAAGCAGCCAAGAAGTGTCCAGCACACATGGCACTGTTTAAAAAGCATCCCAGAAACTACCTCATGAAGTTGGTTGAGTAAATAACCACAGTTTGCAGAGCTGCAATCTAAACAATGGGTGGCGACATTTTTGGTCGCTATATAATTTGTTGTGCCATTTCGTAGTTTTGATGACTTATTATTTTAAATTGTGCAAAATAGTATAAATAAAGCTTTAGAAAGTCTGCCTAAACTTTTAACTTGTAACACATATGGGTTGAAGGGACATATTCCAAAATGTTCCTCTATGCTGAATCGTACTCTTTGTTCTCTGATGACATTCGCATGCTGCTTAATAATATATACCATTCTTTTAGATCTCGGTGGGTAACCTGCATGGCAATGTGCCATATGCATTATAAAAACATAGACTGTCTGTATTGGAAAGAAAAGCAGTGTTTTGTGTGCTTGGAAGGGATAGCTGTCTTATCATAAAGACTATACCTGCAAACACCAGTCTGCTTTACTTATCACAAAGATAACATCAATCACACTGAGATTCTTTCATCTCCTCGCCTTGTTTCCTTTCATATTCACATTGAGGTTGTGATTACTTTATATTTTATACCTTATAATCAACTCCATGTGCATGGTATGGTAAATATGCTGCGCATTTGCAAGTCATAAAGAGAAGGAAATTATCTTATATTATTGTTTGACTAGTTCATATTCAGCAAGGAAGAGGGAAACATGGAATTTGAAGTGAAATTCCACTCACCGCCCACTTATACACCAACTCAAGGGTCTGCAAGATCATCTGCCCACCTGCATGCATATGTAATCGGCCCCTGGCCATTCAGGCTCTGAGATGGTCTTTCATTTATAAAGGTGTGATACAGCTTGAGAAATCGGTAGAATTGATCCATAAGGCTGGTGGCATGTCGCATATTTATATGTATGTATGTATGTGGGTGTACATATATACACAAATACACAGTATATATCTACCATTTAAAAGTTTGGGGTCAATAAGATTATTTATTTATTATTATTTTTATGTATTTATAATACTTCTATTGAGCAAAAATGCACTGATCAAAGGTAACAGTAAATATTTTACATTGTTACAAAAACAAATCTATTTCAAATAAATGCTGTTCTTTTAAAGTTTATTTTCATCAAACAATTATGCGGGGGAAAACATATTCTACAAAAACATTAAGCAGCACAACGGTTTTCAATATTGATCAAAATAAATGTTTCTTGAGCACCACATATTATATATTACAAATATTTCTGAAGGATCATGTGATACTTAAGACTGGAGTAGAGGCTGCTGAAATATTAAAATATATTAAAATAGTTATTTAAAATTTTAATAATATTGAGCAAGATTACTGTTTTTTTGTATTTTTGATCAGTTAAATGTAGTCTTGTGAGCTTAAGAGACTTTCAAAAATGTAAAAAAAAAAATACAGACCCCAAACTTTTGAATGATAGTGTATTCACATTTAATAAATTTTTCCATATTTATTTATATACAGTATGGATTTAATCTGCATTTAATTCTGAAAGATAAGATATAGGCACTAATGTTTGCATTTGTTATCCATTTTCACATGTTAAGAAAATCTGAAATTTGATGTAGTAGAAAAACTTCTAAAATAATCAACCAGCTACTGAATTTCTGTATTGAATTGTTGAACTTGGAAGTACATCATATCCTATTGTAGCCTTCCAAGAGGCACAGGAAGTCTCAACACAAGCAATCACAAAAAAACCCAAAAACATCTGCACCAAAAACTGACCGTTTGTCATACTATAAATGAGAAACATAACTGTCCACCAAAGCAAAGCCATAGGTTTTTGCAGAAGTAACGGAAAGCATTTCCTCTATGGAACAAAGGCCTATTAATTATGATAGATAGCACCTACTGAATGCATCATTTTGCTGTTTTGCTGTACCGTGCTACTTCTTTGAAAGTAACCCATTAGTCTTTGTGGCAGCCTGCATTCTGCTCCCAATTTAATAATGACTCAAACTTTGTTTAATTAAATGAGTCTGTCACCACTTCTTACAAATTGTATTTGTTTTTCAGCTCATCATAGCTGCTCTAAAATAGAACGTGACTATAGAGGTTTTCCAAAGATGAATACCTTTGTAGCATGCAGACAGTGTAATCAGTTAAAACTGGGGTTTAGGGAAATAAATACATGCTAATGAATAATTTGGGGGCATAAGTTTCTACCCACGAAGACAGGCAGAGAGTAATGTGAGAAAACATGTCAGATGCAATCCAAAACAAAGGAGTGTAATACATTCAGGCAAAACCCAAGACAGAGAAAGGAGATTTGTCTAATACAAAAAAGTGAAAGCGCACAATTACAGGCTTTGCTGCATTTACTGCTTTCCTTTGCTTTAGGGTGAAAAAAAAGAAAGTTATGCAACTCTTGCCGCTTCTGACGCTGCCAGTATGAGTGAATTCTCTATAATCCCTAGAATTACAGCTTTTGGGCAATGGTTAGAGCTGTAATTTGAGTCATACAGTAGGTCTAAAGTGTGTGATTAAAAATTGCGTCAAATCAAATGGATATCTTCCAAGACAGCATTTATTATCTTAGTCTATATAAAGCTAAATCAATCAAACTTCACCACTTCTTCAACACTGAGATTAATGTTTACGCTCCTCAGGGAACCAAAATTTGCTCTTTATTCTAATACCATGATGTGTTTCTTAGGGCTAAACAGAAATGTTTTAACCTATTTTGACAAAATGTCTTCAGTTGTCAGTCTTTTCCCTTATGAAGCAATGTAGCTGTAGACTCGCAGCACCAGGCTTGACTATCGACATAAAGTCTGTGACCAATATGTAAAGTGACTAATCACAGTTTTGTATTAACCAGACATTTAGGGATGGTAAAATCAAACATTGGCCCAAAATCACACATTGGTTAAGCAATCTTTGTGAACAAAACAGAAATAACTGGAAATGTGTGTTGACTTTCTGATCAGATTTTTTTTCTTTTAATGTATTAAATAAGTACAGATACAAAATAATCAGGAAAAAGGGCAATATTCAGTTCTGATTATGGTTATCTATAGGGATGTCCTGATCAGGTTTTTTGTGCCCCGATCCGTTCTGAGTCATTGAATATTGAGTATCTGCCGATACCGAGTCCCGAACCGATGCTTGTATATTCCCAGTGTTTGATGCACAATTCGAGTACAGTAAAGATTTTAAAATCAATACAATGTTTACAGAGTTGTGCAGAGAGTAAAAGTAATATATATGTGAGTGCATACATATATAAGATACACTCTCTCAATGTATGTATTTGCACATACTGTATAAAGACATTGGTAGAATATAGGACAACTGATGTAAACTTGTATTTTAAATATATAATAAGCAGAATAATTGCTACATAAAGGGAAAAGTGGAGATATGGTTAGAAAGCATGAAGCTCGCGGTGTCAGAATGCCAGTCTGTAAGTCAAATCCGAAGCAAGATGCAACCCATAGCAACGCATTATGGCAATGACGTCTCAGACAGTCAATAAAAGTAAACAATAAATGATTGAGTGATCGTTACAAAAGTGGCCATCAAATACATCAAACACGGAAGCTCAAATGTGTGACACACTAGAGCAGACCTTACTGGTTCTCGAGCGTCACACACGCACATTTCTTCTTCTTTTGGTTTTAATGGCGGCTGAACACTAGCATTTGAGCGTCTTCTTTTCCTTTTAATGGCAGTTGGCAAATCTACTACAAATCTACTAATTTACACATTTCTTTACCACTTTTTATTTTCACTTATTTTCATAGGTTTATGTTTTGGTTTATGTTGTCACAGCAACAAAAGTACAGTAATTTAATAAAGAATTCACAATTAATTGACTATTGAAGAGGGAATTATACGCTCTATCACTTACCCATGACTGCTAGAGCCGTGGCTTTAGTTAAGTCCCTCTTCATGCTTTCAATGACCTCAAAACCACTACCGTCCAGATTGCACCTGTTGATAGTACCATTAGCAGAACTGATCCAATACATCTTCCCAGCTGGAAAGTCAATCGAAAGTCCTGAGGGAAAACAAGAATCAGTTAGAAACTGTTGTTTGGATTGCTGGTATGGAATCCTGTTTGATCATTACTTCAAAATATACCTTACATATCCTATAACTATCAATGTACAGTATCTGAGTGTGAGATGGTTCTTTATAGCTCGAAATATAGTTGCGGCCTCTTTGTGACACTCTAAATCACTTCACTAAATCCATCTCTGTCTAAAACCTGTTTCAAAAGTGGAAATGGTGAGAGTTTGACAGAGTGGTAAAACTGATTGTGACAAGTGAAGGATATTTCAATTGAGCGTCAGGACAGCTCTGACTGAGTGGGGCTTGGTGCATGATAGACTCCCAAAAACAACAACAGAAATTTAACTCTCAAGACATCTTCTCTAAGACTGCCGTTAAAACTAAAGAAGCATTGTGCTTGGCTTATCAATGAATGTACAGGTACAGGGGTATAAAAAGTACAGAGGAAATATATTTAGGCTTGAGGATGGGAATTGTGTAGATGTTTTACTCAAAAAAAGTCCAAAGCACTACTATGTTTCTGTGTGTTAAAAAGTAAACTTTTTTTTATTAGCTTTAGAAATAGACTGATAAAATCAAAAGGCCAGGGAGATTTTTCCATTAAAGTAACTTTCATGCATACATTTTGTAAAGCAACCTGTTAAATAGCAATTTTCTCAGGGTCCTGACTCTGTAAGGCTGTGGATAGGAAATGTAATATATATATATATATTATGTATATATATATATATATATATATGACACTTATGCCCTGGAAGTTGTTTAAATTCAGCAGCAGTTTATAGACACTCAAGATCAATTTCACGATGGTAATATTTAAAATGAATTCATTACAGCTATTGCTTAACTGTAGGTCAATGTTGGGGTGACTAATCAGAGGTCTCTTCACAAGGACAAATGACCATAGTTGTTTACAATATAGACTGAAATGGATTTTGCTGGCTATTTTAAATAAAAGTTATGTAAAATAATTTTTCTTTATAAGTGGAAATAAGGACATGATGGCATGCAAAATATGTTCTTTGTTCTTTGAACGTCTAAAGAAAATGGTAAGTTATAAAACGTATGATGTTCTCCTTGTAAATCTAATTAAATAAGAGTACAAGTATTCTATTTCAATAAAAAACTAATTTCTAAAAAATAAGACTTAAGTATATCAATGTAGTACAATCCCTCTTGTACTTAAAACCCCCGAGAGAGAAATTAGACATACAGTAATAGTGAAATGTTTGCAGATAGCCTGAAATCAGACATACCAACTGGTTCTCTCTGATTTTGATGAAGAACCTTCCTGTTGCTTCCATCCATATTGGCTACATTTATTGTATTTCCATCGGTCCAGTAGATTTTTCTAGATCATGAAACAAAGTACATTTCAGGAGAACCATTTGAGTCATGAGATCAATTCTCATGGTTTGTATCTAAGACTGACATGACAAAATAAATAAATAAATACAAAGAGCAAACACAAATCTTACTTAATCATACATGCAATCTGTCCATGTGGGCAGCTTACCCTTTGGCTGGGTGCACAGTCAGACACTTTGGTTTGTCAATCCCATAGATGACTGAGGTTTTTAGAGATCCGTCTAGTCGGGCAACATTGATCTGCGTCTCCTCGTTCTCAGAGCTCAGCCAATACATGTTCCTCGAGAGCCAATCTACTGCCAGCCCACGGCAGTTTTGAATATCTGCACGTACCAGAGACAGCCATTAACACAGATAACACAGAGACAACAAACCTCATGGGCGACTGCAACACTTCTGTGCATGTTGTAATAAAATGTCTTGTGTGTCTTGTGTCATGGTCGGCATGCTGATCAGTTTGAGAAGAAATACACCATGCTTTCCAACAGCACTTAAGAAAATCTACTTCAGTCTTCATGTCGCACTTCTCTTGCTTTTCTTAATGCAGTTCAGAGAAGCAATCCCTGCAGAACTTCACAAACAAGCTCTCCTATCATGTAAGATATTATTTATGTTCTGCCGCACACTCCTTCAACTGTCATTTTTTAATGCAGTCCGCCTGTGAACACAGTCTTCTCGTAATAGAAAAAACAATTTAAGACTGAGTGTCAGCAAAATAAAACAGTATTTCAGCTCAAACTTACAATGCGGCAGCAGAGAAAAAAATCGCAACAAAACTTATTAACAGCACAAAATGTAATAACTGTCACTTAGGTGGTGTTTATTGAGAAAAATCTTACACCACACAGAATGTGAAAAAAGAAACAAGAAAAACACTTCGATTTGGACTCTTGACTCACCTCCAGAAATAACAGTTTGAAAGCCTGCTCCATTGATAAAGGCACGTTTTATTGTTTGAGTCTTAACGTCCGCCCAGTATATCCTTTCCTCAAGAGCGTCATAATCCACCACAGTGACATCATCAATGTCAGGAACCGTCAAAGCAGTCATGACGTTCATATACGGATTATCGATATCCACTCCACGGATCTCAGATCGTCTCACATACAACAGGAACTTCTTCAGGGCTGATGTGCGTGCCAAAACAAAACATATATAAGTCAATACTTCGTCTAGAAAGCTCAAACCGATCCATACTTTTGTGTGCATGTTTTGTTTATTGTGTGGGATGTCGCAGAGCTGCATACTCACCCACACAAGAGCGGTTGTTGAGGGAAAGCTTCATGAGATGAGGACATGAACAAGAATTAAATAAGAGTACAAGTATTCTATTTCAATAAAAAACTAATTTCTAAAAAATAAGACTTAAGTATATCAATGTAGTACAATCCCTCTTGTACTTAAAACCCCCGAGAGAGAAATTAGACATACAGTAATAGTGAAATGTTTGCAGATAGCCTGAAATCAGACATACCAACTGGTTCTCTCTGATTTTGATGAAGAACCTTCCTGTTGCTTCCATCCATATTGGCTACATTTATTGTATTTCCATCGGTCCAGTAGATTTTTCTAGATCATGAAACAAAGTACATTTCAGGAGAACCATTTGAGTCATGAGATCAATTCTCATGGTTTGTATCTAAGACTGACATGACAAAATAAATAAATAAATACAAAGAGCAAACACAAATCTTACTTAATCATACATGCAATCTGTCCATGTGGGCAGCTTACCCTTTGGCTGGGTGCACAGTCAGACACTTTGGTTTGTCAATCCCATAGATGACTGAGGTTTTTAGAGATCCGTCTAGTCGGGCAACATTGATCTGCGTCTCCTCGTTCTCAGAGCTCAGCCAATACATGTTCCTCGAGAGCCAATCTACTGCCAGCCCACGGCAGTTTTGAATATCTGCACGTACCAGAGACAGCCATTAACACAGAGGTGCACATCACAACAAACCTCATGGGCGACTGCAACACTTCTGTGCATGTTGTAATAAAATGTCTTGTGTGCATTGACACATGGTCGGCATGCTGATCAGTTTGAGAAGAAATACACCATGCTTTCCAACAGCACTTAAGAAAATCTACTTCAGTCTTCATGTCGCACTTCTCTTGCTTTTCTTAATGCAGTTCGGAGAAGCAATCCCTGCAGAACTTCACAAACAAGCTCTCCTATCATGTAAGATATTATTTATGTTCTGCCGCACACTCCTTCAACTGTCATTTTTTAATGCAGTCCGCCTGTGAACACAGTCTTCTCGTAATTGAAAAAACAATTTAAGACTGAGTGTCAGCAAAATAAAACAGTATTTCAGCTCAAACTTACAATGCGGCAGCAGAGAAAAAAATCGCAACAAAACTTATTAACAGCACAAAATGTAATAACTGTCACTTAGGTGGTGTTTATTGAGAAAAATCTTACACCACACAGAATGTGAAAAAAGAAACAAGAAAAACACTTCAATTTGGACTCTTGACTCACCTCCAGAAATAACAGTTTGAAAGCCTGCTCCATTGATAAAGGCACGTTTTATTGTTTGAGTCTTAACGTCCGCCCAGTATATCCTTTCCTCAAGAGCATCATAATCCACCACAGTGACATCATCAATGTCAGGAACCGTCAAAGCAGTCATGACGTTCATATACGGATTATCGATATCCACTCCACGGATCTCAGATCGTCTCACATACAACAGGAACTTCTTCAGGGCTGATGTGCGTGCCAAAACAAAACATATATAAGTCAATACTTCGTCTAGAAAGCTCAAACCGATCCATACTTTTGTGTGCATGTTTTGTTTATTGTGTGGGATGTCGCAGAGCTGCATACTCACCCACACAAGAGCGGTTGTTGAGGGAAAGCTTCATGAGATGAGGACATGAACAAGATGCCGTGCGGTTGTAATCAATGAGACAAAGATGGGAGCAAGGGCCTCTTCCATCGTTATCCTCGCACGGGTTTGAGGCTGAAAAACCCAGGGTGACACGCATTTAAACCAGGGAAAGAAAACACACCAAAGCGAAAATCAATATCACATACTATGAATGGTTTAAGGAAAGCAGCTTTTAAAAGGAGCCAGGAACAACAGCTGTGAAACAACGAAACAAACAAACAAACTAAAAAAATAAATTACTGTACAGTGAAACTGAGAGAATAAGAGTGAGAGTTTAGATGTCTGCATTTAACGAGGGCAACATAAAAATGGGTGCAAAATAAAAGTGCAATACCATCAAGAAAACATTCATCTTAACTTCAGGATAAAGGGAAGAGCTGAGGTTGAATGAACAGTGCTGACAGCTCATGTTTTCTGCCCACAGTGATCCTCTTGAAACCACAGCACATTTAGACATTTTGTACGACTCTTTGTAGAGAGACAGCTATATTTCAACAGAAGGTAATGTTGAGCAGACAGATAATGGCCTAAAGGCCACTGGTGCGAATAGTCAATTAACCATCAGATCTTTCTCAGATTGCTCTGATTGTAAAGATCTTCCTTTAAAAGACCTACTCAAAAGGGCAGCTGAGATGAGGATGAGCAAGATTGCTGTCATCATATAGTATCATCATTTTGTTTGTGATAGTCTGTAATCTTTAAAAAAAACTGTAAATGTCTTCACTGTCACTTTTGATAAATTGAATGTATCCTTGCTGAAGAAAAATATCAATATATTTAAAAACTAACATAAAAAAATAAGACAAATCTTACTGACCCAAACATTTGAACAGTAGTGTACACTATCTGACATATTTTCAGATCATCATCATGTTTTCAGAACATCTCCAGGACGCTGCGCTCCATATGACTAGTAATCCAATTATCAAATAACTGCTATGATGGCTTTTGTTCTACCCGCTTAAATGATAGAAGTACTTATGCTGTCCAATCTATTAAGACTGTCTGTTCCCCGAATAGGGAGGTCAAAATATAAATTTAATGCAGGATCTAGAAAAAATCTGATCGTGATTAAACCAGAAAAATGTAAAATAAATGAACATAAACAATTTTTAAAGTTTGGGTTAATAAACATTAGATCAGTTATTGTAAATGAAATGATCACAGATAATAGTTTTGATGTACTCTGCTTGACTGAAACCTGGCTAAAACCAAATGATTATATTGGTCTAAATGAGTGTTAAGTCCTCTACAGATGCAATCAACACGAGGAAGTACATTGTAACTCAGATGATGCTCTTTTTAATAAACATATGCAACAGCACAACCAACCATACACTTCTTCTCACACTTCTTCCCCCTCTTACTTCTACCCCACAGCGACACCTAGTGTCAACAATATAACATATTCCCCTTTTACTCAAGAAAACTTTTTCCTTTAGCAATTCCTTTAGAAATTCACAACTGAACGTATTAATATGTAACACGACTTCCGAACTCAATTCTTATGCACAATTTAACGTGTTCAAAGGCATATCAAATACAACAACAAACTTCAAATTCAATTATTTGCGTTTGGACCTTTAGTGCACATAGTCTTTTAACCATATTGGAGGACACCTCACCCTCTGAGAACGGGGTGAATTACAATCACCAGGTCCAGGTACACAGCTCGTGAGGAAGCTGCGTAAGCCAATCAGCCACATTGACTCTTTTCGTTCCCGCAGCAGACAGCGCCAGTTGTGAAGCATGCCATTTCCTTCCATCTGAAAGAATGAAAGTATTCTTTCCCACCTGCTTCCTGATCTCTTTTGGCTGTGAAAATCTTGGGTGTCCTTTTGGTACGTGCCACGGAAGCTTAACACGCACTTTGTCCCCTTGTCAACAGTAGTGCGTGCTCTGCGCTTCGTGCCAAACCACCGCTTCATTTTAGCTTGTTGTGCGGGAGACTCGCCCGCGCACCACATCTGTAAGCCCTTCTGATGTTAAAGAGGGCAAGACATCCAAGCGAGTGCGCATTTTCCTCCCATGCAACAATTCAAAAGGCGTCACGCCAGTAGTGGAATGTGGCGTTGCTCTATAGATGTGGAGGAATTCTGTAACAGTGGTTTTCCATGGTAGCGACTGAAGTATTGCAGACTGTACGCAACTCTTGAGCACTCTATGAAAGCGCTCGATTGCCCCGTTGGCAGCTGGATGGTATACTGGTGTGCACACATGAGCGATGTCCCTCACTCTCTAAGAAAGGCAGAGAATTCAGCGGCTGTAAACTGGGGTCCGTTATCCGTCACTATACATTCCGGGTTCCCATGACGGCTAAACACGGAGGTTAGGAAGTAAATCACTTGCTTTGCACTCACTGAGGACGTGCTACGTTAGCTGAAGGTAAAGTGCACACTCACTGTTTCCCTGGTGCTCGTGTTCTCGATGTTTCTGCGCAGATACCCGCGATCCTGAAGGGCGACGAGAGCACCGGAGCGGTCGTGCTTCACGCGGGGGTTAACGACACCAAGCTGCGGCAGACGGAGACACTGAAGAGGGACTTCAGGAGCCTGATCGAGACGGTGCGCCGCACATCGCCCGCGACGACGATCATCGTGTCAGGACCGCTTCCCACGTATCGACGAGGACATGAAAGGTTCAGTAGACTTTTTGCTTTAAATGAATGGTTATTGTCATGGTGTTAAGAACAGAAACTGCTCTTTGTTAATAATTGGAATCTTTTCTGGGAGCGTCCTAGGCTTTTTCGCGCTGATGGCCTGCACCCCAGCAGAGTCGGAGCGGAACTCCTGTCGGACAACATCTCCAGGACGCTACGCTCCAATTGACTAGTAAGTCAAATCTCAAATAACTGCCCTGATTACTTGTGTTCTACCCGCTTAAATGATAGAAGTACTTGTGCTGTCCAATCTATAAAGACTGTGTCTGTTCCCCGAATAGTGAGGTCAAAATATAAATTTAATGCAGGATCTAGAAAAAATCTTATCGTGATTAAACCAGAAAAATGTAAAATAAATGAACATAAACAATTTTTAAAGTTTGGGTTAATAAACATTAGATCAGTTATTGTAAATGAAATGATCACAGATAATAGTTTTGATGTACTCTGCTTGACTGAAACCTGGCTAAAACCAAATGATTATATTGGTCTAAATGAGTGTTAAGTCCTCTACAGATGCAATCAACACGAGGAAGTACATTGTAACTCAGATGATGCTCTTTTTAATAAACATATGCAACAGCACAACCAACCATACACTTCTTCTCACACTTCTTCCCCCTCTTACTTCTACCCCACAGCGACACCTAGTGTCAACAATATAACATATTCCCCTTTTACTCAAGAAAACTTTTTCCTTTAGCAATTCCTTTAGAAATTCACAACTGAACGTATTAATATGTAACACGACTTCCGAACTCAATTCTTATGCACAATTTAACATGTGTTCAAAGGCATATCAAATACAACAACAAAAATTCAATTATTTGCGTTTGGACCTTTAGTGCACATAGTCTTTTAACCATATTGGAGGACACCTCACCCTCTGAGAACGGGGTGAATTACAATCACCAGGTCCAGGTACACAGCTCGTGAGGAAGCTGCGTAAGCCAATCAGCCACATTGACTCTTTTCGTTCCCGCAGCAGACAGCGCCAGTTGTGAAGCATGCCATTTCCTTCCATCTGAAAGAATGAAAGTATTCTTTCCCACCTGCTTCCTGATCTCTTTTGGCTGTGAAAATCGTGGGTGTCCTGTTGGTACGTGCCACGGAAGCTTAACACGCACTTTGTCCCCTTGTCAACAGTAGTGCGTGCTCTGCGCTTCGTGCCAAACCACCGCTTCATTTTAGCTTGTTGTGCGGGAGACTCGCCCGCGCACCACATCTGTAAGCCCTTCTGATGTTAAAGAGGGCAAGACATCCAAGCGAGTACGCATTTTCCTCCCATGCAACAATTCAAAAGGCGTCACGCCAGTAGTGGAATGTGGCGTTGCTCTATAGATGTGGAGGAATTCTGTAACAGTGGTTTTCCATGGTAGCGACTGAAGTATTGCAGACTGTACGCAACTCTTGAGCACTCTATGAAAGCGCTCGATTGCCCCGTTGGCAGCTGGATGGTATACTGGTGTGCACACATGAGCGATGTCCCTCACTCTCTAAGAAAGGCAGAGAATTCAGCGGCTGTAAACTGGGGTCCGTTATCCGTCACTATACATTCCGGGTTCCCATGACGGCTAAACACGGAGGTAGAACACGGCCCCGAGGCCATAATCAGATGCGTCAGTCTAGATGAGTGTTTTCTTCTGCGTGACAACGATCGGGGAAACCCAGGGAGACGGCGTAAATTTTTTCAGTTACCCTTCTTTGAGAAGGTGATCCAACTCTTTGGAAACAGCAGAGCGCACAGACAGAGGTAAGCGCCACAGTTTTTCGGGTTCCCATGACGGCTAAACACGGAGGTTAGGAAGTAAATCACTTGCTTTGCACTCACTGAGGACACAAAAGCAACTTCAGGCCATTTGCGATGATAGTCCACAAGGGTTAGGGCATAACGGCAGTCCCAGTTAGCTGAGTCGAATGGGCCCACTACATCCATTGCTAATTTTTTCCAGGGTTCAGGAGGAAAAGGCACAGGCTGCAGTGGGGCAGGGTGTATTTTTGCGGTTTTGTCCGATGCTTGACACAGTTGACAGGAAGAGATAACGCGCATGACCGATTCATCCATCCGCGGCCACCAGTATAGATCACGTAGCCACTGTTTCGTGCGTACTATGCCCTGGAGCCACAGATTTCATAAATCTCCACATCAATCTGACTTTACCTTAACATTACTATATGTAAAGCGGGTGCGGAGTATAATTTGTATTTTCACTGCTTCAGCTTTGTCCGAATAGGGAAGGATACACCCCGCCTGCAAACTCCAATAATAATTTTGAAGTGGTTTGCCTGTCAGCAATGTGTTGGAAAAGTGCTTACAACACTGCAGGCCACACAGGCACTAAATATGGGAGCCTTTTACCACACATAATGCATTTTCAACGTGCTGGGTAATGGCTGTAGCCTTAGCCCCCAT